CCAATCCCATCCCCACAGATTTCCATGGATGTCTCTCACCATTATCCCATTCCAGAGCCCCCTGATGTCCATGTGTCTGGAAAAGAGGAATACGGGATCCTGACCTTGTTCTGCCATGTGTACGGATTCTACCCCAGGACCATCGCAGTCAGCTGGATGAAGGGGGATGAAATCCGGGATCAGGAGACGCAGTGGGGCGGGATCGTTCCCAACAGCGACGGCACCTTCCACACCTGGGCCAGGATCGAGGCGCGGCCGGAGGAGCGGGAGCAGTACCGGTGCCGGGTGGAGCATCCCGGAATGCCGGAGCCTGGGATCTTTGCTTGGGGTGAGGCTGGGAATGTGCAGTGTGGGAATTGGGGAATTTCCAAATGGGGGTTCTCATCCCTCTCCTCACTATCCCGCATTTCCCAGAGCCAAAATCCAGTGTGAATCTCACCCTGGTGGTCACTCTGTCCCTCATCGCTGTCATTGCTGTCATTGCCATCGGATTTGGCCTCTGGAAGCTCCAATCCGGTAACACACGGGATGGGGGTCGGGAAGGGGCACGGATCCACCCGGCACTGTTCCGGGAATCCTGTGCCACGGGTGCTGATCCCACAGTTTTTCCATAGGGAGGAGGCAGCACTCTGGATACAGCCCTCCAGCCGGTGAGTACCAGTGGTGGATCCGGCTCTGGATCCCCTCCGTGCGGATTCCAGGATGGATCCTGGGGTTAATCCCGGTGTGTGATCCGTGCTGGAATCTCATGGATCTTCTCTTTCTGCAAGAACAGACGTGGGAACCAACGGCTCAACTGCAGGTACAGAGCGGGATCAGGGTGGGATTGCAGAGGGGGATCGGGGCAGGGTGGATGGAGTGGGATCAGGGAGGGATTCCGGATCAGGGGAGGGGTCCAGAGCGGGATCGGGTGGGATGGATGGGGTGGGATCAGGTGGGATGGATGGAGCAGGATTGGGGCAGGGTGGATGGGGCGGGATCAGGTGGGATTCCATTGGGGATTGGTGTGGGATGGATGGGGTGGGATCAGGTGGGATTCCATCAGGGATTGGTGCAGAATGGATGGGGTGGGATCAGGTGGGATTCCGGAGCAGCTCCCACTCTCCATGGGCTCCAGAGCCAGGTCCATCCTGCAGGATGGGGACAGGGACAGGGTGACACCGTGACCCGCTCTCATCCCAGCAGGAATCACCGCCTGAGCCACCCACAGAGCCGGATCAGCCCCTTTCCTCTCCCTGGGAAAGCCAAGAGCTGCTGGCAGAGCTCATCCCACTGCTCCCACCCATCCCATCCTCACCCACCCCATCCTCACCCATCCCATCC